CCCCAACTCATAGCGACCCCTCCTTGGGTTTCCGAGGCAGTATCACTACGGAAGTAGGATTGCCCAACCTTCCTTCCGAGGAGTGGCTGATGGGTAGTAGCGCTTTAAGCAGGGTTGTAAAGTTGAGCTCAGAAAGGAAAGAGATTTTGCCTATAATGTTACAAAACTTTATCCTGTATGCAGCTTTGCCTGTGCTTTAGGGGACAGATTTATAGAAGTCTAGAAGTGGAATCCAGTTGGGAAGCTACAATTTTATAGTGAACTCTAAAAGCAGAATTTTTTTATGTTCTAAGAAAACATTTTTTTGTTTTAAAATAATATGGGTCTATTAAGGCACTTCTAAACTTCATAAAAAAGCAAAAAGAAGGAAAAATATCACCTTCCTAGGAAAAAAATACATCACTATTTTCATGTTTGTGTATCCTTTCTACGCTTTTTCCCTGAAGATGGCATTTGTAGGCCTTGGAAGAGAATACATCTGAGACCTAAGGAGCACAAACCCAACATTACATTTCTTACATTTATCTAGGACCACACAGTTGACAATGTCCAGATTAAAGCAGAATACCCACCTGTATTTGAGTATGTTTACAAAATGTTGCTCCTGCTCCATGTGTAGCATGTGAACTTAGGGTATTCATTTCATGATGCCTGTTCTACACAGGTGCCCCTGATCCCACAGCTGGAGCCAGCATTGATGATGAGAACTGTTGGCATTTAGATGAAGAACAAGTGAAAGAACAGGTGAAGCTCTTTCTTTCCCAAGGTGGTTACTATGGCTCTGGAAAGCAGCTCAACTCAATGTTTGCCAAGGTAAGACATGGAGATTTTTTTTTTAATATTTTTTAAAGTAAGCTGGCCTTACCATACTTCTGGCTTCATGCATTATAAACATCTCACTTGACCTAGCTGTTCTGAATGCTTAAAACCTAGTAGAAGGGCTGATCAGAGCAGACCTGAGAAGGTATATCCAGTGAGCCCTACTACCTCACTTTGGTAGTCCTTTTCCTTCTCCATATCTAAATGGGTTAGCATGGCTTTGCTGGGAGGTAGATTGTGTTAGTAAGGAAACTACCTTCTCTGTGCTTTGATCCTCCATCTGTTTGATGAGACCTTGAAGACTAGAGTCTCAATAGTGTCCCTGAAGAGACAGTATTTCAACCAGACATTTTTTTTCCTTTGCCCTTTGCCTCAGAACCTATTATGAGAATAAAATGCTCTGAATCCTTGTGATAGGGAAGGGAAGCAAAAATGTGCTATGAAATCTGATAAATTGTTCAAGATAATTCTACAGTAGGGTTTTCCAAATAACTTAATAGGTAAATTTGTGCTCTTAAGAGTATTTAAATTTTAAAACTAACATTGCACTGAAAACATTTTTTTTTTAAGATTAGTATATGATAGAATTTAAAGTCTCAACATGGACTCTTAAAATGCTAGTGTTCTATCAAAGGGGAAAATAGGGATATTTTAAACTAAGAATGGACCATATTTATGCCAGTAAAGTTTATTTAATGAATATATATAAACTATACGTTTCAGTGGTGCTACAAGATTATTTTTCTTTCTCCATTCCAAATACCTTTCCCAATTGTTTTAAATATTAACCTCTGATACTGACATGTTTATCATTTCAAACAGGGATGCAGGTATCTATTTTACACGTAACAGAAAATCCATGATCAAAAGTTATATATTTTGAGGACAAAACAACTCTCCATGCATGTCATTATACACTGTTGCATTTCTTTTTCCCCATAGTTCTTGCATCTTGAGGATTATTTTTAAATATATGTTGATGATTATTTTAAAATTTTATTTTTATATCCTAAAATTAAAAATAACTTATTCAAACTAAAAGTGGCCAACAGAAAATCCTTTGAAAGGATGAACTGATTGATGCAAAATTATATCCACCTTGCTTCAACTTCTTTCTTGAGCAGGATTTTTTTTTTTTAAATACTTTTATTGTGGTGAAAACACACACCAAGACATTCACCAAAATAACAACTTCCACATTTACAGCTCAGGGACACTGATGACATTTTTCATGTTGTGCCACCATTATTGCTATTCTTTTCCAAAATATTCCACCACCATTAGCATAAACTCAGTGTTAAGCAGGCTTTCTTGATACATGCAGAGAACTTGCTTACAGAGCAAGAGTCCTTCTTTCTGACTTTTGGGATATATTGTGCTTAGATATTTCATCTTCTCTTCCCCCTTCACCCCTTCTTTCTCTTTATAGTTTTTTATGATGTGCAGTCACCAACTCTTTGCCCCTCCTGTGTATCAGGTTCGAGAGATGCTGCGGATGAGAGACTCCAATGGAGCCAGGATGTTGACACTTATAACAGAGCAGTTTATGGCTGACCCACGTCTCACACTCTGGAGGCAGCAAGGAACAAGCATGACAGACAAGTGCAGGCAACTCTGGGATGAGCTAGGTAAGTCCCATAGCTACATCCTACCAGATCATCCTCTGACAACATTGTTAACGGACATTTGTAAATGAATCATTTCTTTTATAAGGATTAGCATATAGCTGGTTCCTATGAGGCAGAGGTTAAAGATGTCCTAAATGTCCAACTTTTTTAAACAGCTGTACCACTCCATTATCTTTAACATCAACTACTTACCCCCACCTCTACCCCCATACTCTCCCTCCAGTCTTTGAGTTTGGTAATTGACTGCAAAGTCTCATAGAACTCATGGGCCATACTTACACTTAAGTGGTTTATTAGGGAAGTAACAGGGTACATCTTGAGATTAGGAATGACTCAAAAGTAACAGAAACAACTCAGGATACATTTCTTGATCAGAAGAGCTTTTTCTTGCCCTCTGCTGCTGGGTGCTGCTCGAGGCCTTCTTGGGCAAGTGTTACAACTCTCAGCTTCATGCGTCAGCAAGCCTCACCACAGCCATCAGGTGCTGGACTCCTGGTTCCTGCCATCTTGAACTACTATATCCCACTGTCTTCTTTGTTATAGCTCCTCTCTCTCTCCATGTCTCCCTCTATGCCTAGTGGGATGGCAAAATTGATCAATTCCCTTGTTAGGGTTACATACACCTTATTTGCATGATCCCACCCTCACTAGGGTTCTATACACCTGATTTGCATTAGCTACAAGCCATCCAGTCCCGTTGGTGGGTCACAGTACCTTATTTGTATAGTCCTACCTAATCACTGTGTGGGAGTCACAAAGACTATAGCTAGAAGGGCTATATTAAGTACTTTACTGCACCACAGTCCACCCCCTTGCTCTTCTACCTATGGGCCCTTTTATATTTGAAGGATTAATATCCCCCTCCCAATCATTTTACCAGTCTAAAACAGTCATTGACAATTAAGCCTTCAATAGGGGAAGGAGTCCTTAGGATGAGGTTACTTAGGTACCACCAGCTATTCAGGTCTGCTTCAGGTATCCATCTGATCTCGTCAAGTTCTCCAAAAATCATTTCATGCACTCTGGCCTCTAATAAAAGAAGATTATCCTCTTGCTCTGAGTCTCTTTCATTGTGTCAGCATATTGTTAGACTTCCTCCACTGCGTAACCCATTTATTCATTCCTTTACCTCAGCTATTATTCCTCCTTCCTTCCATTTGTCATTTATTTTATCTAAACTTTTCCACCATGGTAAGTGACATCAGGTTCACCTGCTATGCCAGTCCACATTACTGATAGCACAACCAGTCTAAAAAATGCTTCCCCCCTCAATCCACTGTCATTCGTGTTGGCTAGAGTTACATAGGTACAACACTAGTGGGCTATCTCAACCATAGGCAGTATGGCAGTATTCACTGTCAACCCCAATTGCTATGTAGGTGTAAGGTAAAACCCACCCTATCAAGCCTTTGGGAATTCTGGAATACAGGTTCAGAGGTATAGTTACAGTCTTTTGGATCACACCTGCTCCTGGCACATACAGCTGCATTCCCGATCTTGGGACTGCAGTATCTGGCAGGAAAAAAGCAATTTTAGATAATGTAGGGAAGAACTATCCAGTGGTACTGGCATCCTCTTCTTCCCTAGAGGCCCCAGAGAAGCATAGGAATCTGTCTAGTGGAGATCTTCCCTTTGCCTCCCCTCATGTTGAAGGTGAAGAGCCCTTCGTGCCTTTATCTTCAGCTCACCTGTTTTAGATAACAAATGTTTCAATTGCCCATTCCAGTTCTGTATTAAAGCTGGCCTGTGCTTCATATGATCCCAGGTGAGAATTCCCATCATTAAATTCCTACTGAGTGGGGTGATTGCTAACCAGACGACTGGCGGTTCAAACCCACCAGCCACTCCTCGGAAGGAAGGTTGGGCAATCCTACTTCCGTAGTGATACTGCCTCGGAAACCCAAGGAGGGGTCACTATGAGTCAGGTATGACTCGACGGCACATAACAACAATAACAGCAACAACGGGGTGATTAGAATGGGCTTGTTTAGGCCTCTTGAAACTGGAGGACCAGCAGGAGTTACTGTTGGTCCACTCAACATTTGCATTAGAACCTTTGTTTCAACTCCATCAATGTCTGCTTTATTTATCCCATGTTTTAGTAACCATTTAAAAATCTCTACCTCCTGAGATTAGTTCTTTCCTCATTGCCTCTTTCTGTTCTCCTATGAATCTTTAAGACTCATATTTTTTGCATCTTTAAGACTCATGCAGAGAAGATGTGCCCACAGATCTGAGAAGTCTTCTCAGATTTTTTGTGCTTTCACAATAGCAAAATTTTACCCTTGATTACCATATCTACCATGACCTGTTAAGGGGCATACTCATTGGATGAATATCCTGATCACCATAGAGCCATTCCAGAGTGGCTTGTATAAGCAGCACTTCAGCTGCTTCCTCCAGAGTATTCCACAGGGTATTTAGAGGGGGAGAAAGGCAGTTTCCCTTTTCAGAGTAAATAAATATCACTGCAAATTTTATCCAGTCCACTATGCTACCATCCCCTCTGGGTTAACCTGCTGTGTAATTGGATCTTGTATCATCTTTTGTGACTGTTTCATAGTGAGTTGCATCGACCCAAACATAATCTTCCTTTCTGCAGTATTCAAAACTAAAGACACTACCCCTAAATTAGTTACTCTCGCAGTCCATTTTGGTGAAGATTCCTCAGGAACTTGACAATACCAATCTACAATCTGGGCTCAGTTCAGTACTACAATCTGCATGTACTTTCAGCTGTTACTGGTAACGGCAACCAAGAAATTGTGTTTCATCCTTTCCTTATCACTCTGAATTTCCTTATGCATCCAATTAGACAATTTCTCAGGAATTAATTCTACCACTGCTACTTCCCATGAATTCTTTTTTCCTTGGATAACTGATTACAACATAATACCCTTCAATCCATGTGTGTTTTATGTTCCATCCAGAAACCAAAGGTTTCTTATTCTCCCATTTATCCCCTTTTTTCCAAAACTACATATTCCAGTGAGTCTGGGCTATTGCAGCAAATCCAACTTCTGACACCAAGTAAATGAATAATTAATAAGAATCAGCACAAAGCTGGTTCCTGAGAGGTGGAAGTTCAAGATGTCCCAAATGTCCAACTTTTCTAAGCTGCTTTACCACTCCATCATCTTTAACATCAACTACTTCCACTTCTTCCAGTACTCTTCTGGTCTTTGGGTTCAATAATTTGCTGTAACATCTCACAGAACTCACAAACCGAACTTAAGTAGTTTATTAGGGAAGTAACAGGATACAACTCAGGATCAGAAATGACTCAGAAGTAATAGGAACAACTCAAGATAAAATTCTTGATCAGGACAGTTTCTTCTCTCCTTCTGGTGCTGGACCATGCTTGGAACCTTCTCAGGAATGAGTCAGCAAGCTCCACCACAACCGTCTCAAGCCATACTCCTGATTTGCTTCATCTCCACTGCTATCCTCTTGCTACTGCTGTGCCACCATTTCTTGGCTGTCTTCTGTGTTACAGCCCCTCCTTCTCATTCTCCATGTCTAGTGGGATAGCAGGACTAATCAATCCCCTCATTAAAGTTCCATACTTATTTGCATGGCCCTACCCCCAAAAACTGAAGAAAAATGTCAAGCTCATGTAGCAATATGAAGGATTCTATGGAAAAATATTGAACAATAGAAGAAGCATCAAAACAAGATGTAAAGAATGCACAATGGCTATACCAAAAAGAATCGGTCAACATTCAGCCATTTCAGGAGGTAGCATATGATCAAGAATCAATGGCATTGAAGGAAGCAGCAGCATCAGTGGATCTGGTGAAAAACAGAGTTCCAGGAATTGATGGAATACCCACTGAGATGTTTCAAAAAACAGATGCAGAGCTGGAGGTGGTCACTCATTTATGCCAAGAAATTTGGAAGATGGCTACCTGGCCAACTGACTGGAAGAGATCGATATTTGTGTCCATTCCAAAGAAAAGTGATCCAACAGAAGGCAGAAATTATGAAACAATATCATTAATATCACACACAAGTCAAATTTTGCCGAAGATAATTCAAAAACAGTTGCAGTAGTATATTGACTGAGAACTGCCAGAAATTCAAGCCAGATTCAGAAGAGGGCATGGAATGAGGGATATCATTGTTGATATCAGATGGATCTTGGCTCAAAGCAGAGAATACCAGAAAGATGTTTACCTGTGTTTTACTGATTTTGCATTCGACTGTGTGGATCCTAACAAATTTTGGATAACATTGCCAAGAATGGGAATTGCAGAACATTTAATTGTGCTTATGAGGAACCTATACTAGACCAAGAGCCAGTCATTCAAACAGACAAGGGTTACTGCATGGTTTAAAATAAGGAAAGAAGTGTGTCAGGGTTGTATCCTTTCACCATGCTTATTCAATCTGTATGCTGAGCAAATAATCCAAGAAGCTGGACTATATGAAGGAGCGCTGGTGGTGTAGTGCCTAAGGCATTTGACTGCTAACCAGAAGGCTGGCAGTTCAAACCCACCAGCCACTCCTTAGAAGGAAGGTTGGGCAATCTACTTCCATAGAGACCCAAGGAGGGGTCATCAGAAATGATTTGATGGCAGTGAGTTTGGTTTTGGTTTTTGGACTATATGAAGAAGAATGCAGCATCAGGATTGGAGGAAGACTCATTAACAACCTGTGATATGCAGTTGACACGGCCTTAACCTGCTGAAAGTAAAGATGACTTAAAGCACTTACTGATGAAGATCAAATCCTTCTGACTTCAGCATGGATTACATAAAGAAAATAAAAATCCTTACAACTGGGCCAATAAGCAACATCATGATAAATGGAGAAAAGATTGAAGTTGTCAGGGATTTCATTTTACTTGGGTCCATAACCAATACCCATGGAAGCAGCAGTTAAGAAATTAGACAACATATTGCATGGAGAAAATCATCTGCAAAAGAACTCTTGAAAGTGTTTAAGAGCAAAGATGACTGACTCTTTGAAAATTAAAGTGCACCTGGCCTGCGCCATAG